ATTACGATTCCGTAAAAAACTGCGTATTTGGAGATAACGAAAAAAATTCTCTTTGCTAAAATTAGAAGCAAAGAGCGCTCCAATTTTTTAAAATGTAGGAGTTGGGTTATGGAGGTAGTGCTGGCCCTGCCTTGACCATCCGCTGCCCGGGGCCGCGGACCCAGAGGGGGAAGGAGGGCGTGAAAAGGCCGGCCCTCTTTCTCTCCTTAGAACCGCATCTTTTCCTCAGCACCTCGCTGTCGTTTTAGCTCAGTTTGCGCCTCTCACGCCAGGCTTCCCGCCAAGATCGTCTTTGTTTCCCCCTGGCCTTCAGGCAAGGTTTCAGTTCTTTGCAAGCGTCTCTTCCCGTCTGCTCTCCCATCATTCATTCTTTCCCTTCTGTCTTGTCAGCTTTCCCTTTGTCCCTTTGGCTTTCCTGCTTGCTCTTCCTGCCAGCAGTCTGCACTGTTTCCCTCCCGATCCCGATCTCATTTTCAATGTAATTACATTTCTCTGGGAGATGGAAATAGATGCATGAAGGGGAAAGTCATCCTTTACAACACACACACTCATACACCCCACGATGAGGGAAAGTAAGGGATGGTTAAGATAAGGAAATGTCTCTCGGCTGGAGTTTTGATTTCTGGAAAAGATTTCAGTAGTCCATTTTTAAGAGTCATATTAGCCTTAAACTACAGGCTTGTGGTGGATAGCAAACAGATCTGGATTAAAACCCAGTTTCACCACTCACAGTATGAACTTGGGCACGTTATTTCACTGCTCTATATCTCTGGCATTTTGTTATGTCTTGTTGTTTTTTTTTTATCTGAGAAATGGGTAGGTATAATGATCGATCGTGCCTTCCTCAAAGGGTTGTGATGCAGATTAAGTGAAGTGATGCATGTAAAGCACCAGGCAGAGGCCCCTGCAGAGAGCAGGCTCTCTGTAAGAGCTGGCATCATCATTAACATCTTCAGGCCATCGCTGTTCAGCAGTCAGACACAAGGTGATCTGGTCCTCCTCCTACTGATCCTGCGGGCCGGCTTTGATTCTGTTTATGTTTATGACTGTCCTTCACTGTCTTTCTGCCTGTCTTCTTCTTTCCCTCCCATCATTCCTTTTCTCTCTTTCTCCTTTTATATTTTCTTTATCTTCCCTTTCTTTCCTGTTTTCCTCCCCGCTTCCACATTCTCCTACAAAGACTTAAAAAATATATCCAACAGAAAAAGTTAAAATTAATAGTTGAAGAGAAAATAGGTGAGGGGAAAATGAGGCTAGAGATGTCATAAAGCCAGACGTAAGAGGAAATGCATGAATGTGTACTATGGTTAGGCAATCATGCCTAACCATAGTTAGTTGGAGCTACCATTTTACTGAGCTTCCTAGCAACCAAAGGAAAATAAGAGTAAAAAAATTAAGAGTAAGGTTCATGAGATTAAGGACATACATAGAAATTATGGTCTTTTTCTGAGCACTTGTGTGGATTCTCTTCAAAGGAACACCACGTGATGTAAGTAAATGATGTCTTGCATAATAATGTGTCTATTTTCATAATAGATACAATAATAAACTTCAGAGAATCATTTCTCATGGTGCCCTTCAATATAGGCTGATGATATACCGCTGAGATTCAATCCTGTAAAAGCATTTTTACAAGGAGTTAAAATAGTGTGCTGTTTGCAGTCCTCCAAGGTCTGGCGTGCAGCAAGGACGCATTTTAGAGCACATGGAGGAAAAAATAGACTCATGTCCTTGAGGCAGTCCTCTATAGATATTATCTCTGTCAACTAGGCTTTTGAAAAGTATATGAAAGAGTTCAAGGCAAGTCCCTGAGTATGAGTACCCTCTGTTGCTAGTGAAGGACAGAGAGATGTGATTGGATAATCAGTCAGATGGAGAATAAGACTGAGGCCCTTTAAAAAAAAAAAAAAGAAAATTAAGAGTCAAGCAAACATACCTGACTAAACAGAACTATCCCATTTCTGCAAGTGGAGGGCTGAGAGATTATCTGCAGGTAGGGTCAAAATTGTCCTCTGTTCTGACACTGACGGTTCTTTACAATACATTATTAAATGATGAGAAAAGGTGGATACCATTCTGAGGACAAAGAGCACAAACTTATGCATGAAAAGAAAATACACCAAAATGTTGATAGAAGAAACGTCTGGGAAGTGCGATTTTGAGTGTTGTTATTCTTTTCTTTGCATTATTCTACGATAAGCAGATCTTATTTTGATTGTAAGGAAAAATTAAAGCAATGACAGTTATTTTCAGAGAAAAGAGAGTGTTTAAGTAGCACAGTTTTCTATGAGTTATTTACCAACTGTATTGACGTTGATTGGTTTTGATGTCTCAAAAGACTTTTGGGGTCTGACTGAGGAGAGAAAGGGAGATTTTTTTTTTCAACAGTTGATTTAATCATTCTTTTTGTAATCATTGGACATGATGACCATATATTCATTAGGTCAATTTTTAATGCATGACAAGAATGTATTGGGGGCAGGGTATAGCTCAGTGATGTGGAGGGTATAGCTCAGCGGTAGAGTGCGTGCTTAGCATGCACAAGGTTGTGGGTTCAATCCCCAGTACCTCCATTAAAATAAATAAATAAGTAAATAAGCAAATAAATAAATAAATAAAATCTAATTACCCCTCCAAAAAATAAAAAATAGAAAAAAGTGAAGAATGCATGCTCCCTGAAATGGGGTCTGCCTTTCTCATCTCTGTTATCTCCTTGACCTCAGAAAGTGCCTGGCTTGTAGTAAGCACCCAATGAATACTTGTTGAATGCATATTCAAGAAGTAAATAATAATAAAATCATGATATTAATGTAAAGTATTTACCTTTCTATTCCCAACATTGATGGGTTAGGGTTTTTATTGGGCTGGGGGGGGTTATGTAAGTACTCATGCAAAAATAGTATCAAATTATTTAGACAACTGTTGAACACAGATTTGACTGAGAAGTTATAAAATCATACTGAGATGTGGTCTGGAAACCCACCTTTTGGTACATAACAGGACTGAACAAAGCACAGCTGGCAGCACCTTGCCCCAGCACAGCCCCGGGAGTCATCTTTTAAAACGGAAGCCAGATCATGTTTCTCTTCTCTTTGTAACCCTCCAATAACCTGATCTCACACCATATACAAAAATTAACTCAAAGCAGATCGAAGACCTAAACCTAAGAACTAACACTATAAAATTCTTAGAAAGAAACACAGGGGAAATGCTTCATGATGTTGGATTTGGCAGTGATTTTTGGATATGACACCAAAAGCAGAGGGAGCAAAAAAACCAAAAAGATAAATCAGACTTCATCAAAATTAAAAGCTTGTGTGTATCAAAGGGCATTACCAAGAGAGTGAAAAAAGCAACATACAAAATGGGGGAAGCTATTTGCAAATCATAAATCTGATAAGGTATTGACATCCAGAATATATAAAGAACCCTTACAACTCAACACAAAAGGCCAAACAACCCAATTTAAAAATAAAGGACTTGAATAGATATTTCTCCAAAGAAGACGAACAATGGCCAATAAACACATGAAAAGATGTTCAATATCACTAATCATGAGGGAAACTCAGATCAAAACCACAATGAGATACTACTTCACACTGATTAGGATGATCATTATTTAAAAAAAACACAGTAAATAACAAGTGTTGGTGAAGATGTGGAGAAATGGGAACACTTTTACATTGCTGATGGGAATGTAAAACGGTACAGCTGCTGTGAAAATAGTATGGTGATTCAAAAAAATTAAATACAATTATCATGTGATCCAGCAAGTCCATTTCTGAGTATGCATATAACCAGAAGAATTGAAAACAGAAACTCAAAGAGATATTTGTACAGTGTATTCATGGCAGCATTTCTCACAATAGTCAAAAGTGGAATCAACCTGTGTCCATCAATAGATGAATGGATAAACAAAATGTGGTATATACAGATGATGAAATATTACTAAACCTTAAAAAGGAAGAACATTCTGACACATGTTACAACATGGATGAACCTTGAGAACATTATGCTAGATGAAATAAGCCAGTCACGAAAGAGCAATTCTTGTATGATTCCACTTATATGCGGTAACCAGAATAGCAAGATCATAAAGGCAGAAAGTAGAACAATGGTTGCGATGGCTGGAGGAGTGAGAGAGACTGTGGGGTTATTATTTAACTGGTACAGACTTCAAATTTGTAAGGATGAGAAAGTTCTGGAGACGGATAGGGGTGAATATGAATTATCTGCTGGACATTAGATCCAGGATATATTTTTTTCCTTCCATTCCTCCCTCCCTAAGTCACACAGACGCACACACTTGCACATTCATAAAACTTGGATTTTCCATGAGTTTCCCCTTGCCTAAGAAACAAAACACGAAGTTCGATGAGGAAAAGTGACTCAGCCCCCTAAGTTTGGTATTTACTGCCAAAGAACAGATTTTCAAGAGGGAAGATCCTAGTTCCCAAGCCATCACCAAAATAAAAGAAATCAGGCCCCTAGTGTCTGCCTCAGAATCTTCATGAGGCTGCGGCCGAGTGAGGCGCGGTGGCTGGTGGGTGAGTCCCACAATGCTTTGCTCCCTCTCGCGGGACAACGTATTCTAGCAGCTATCGACAATTCCATTTCCACGTGACAGACAGAGAGTCCCTATGGTCAAAAAACTTGACCCAAGCCTTACAAAAGCAACTACGTGATGTTTTCACTTGAAAGCATGTACTACTCAGGGCAACCTGAGTGGAACCGAGAGTTTAGTGGGCTGTGGTACAGATGACCACACTGACGTGGCATTTTAGAAGCAGCATGGCCTTCTCAGAAGGACAGCCTACTCTAGTGGTCAGAGAATAGCCTGGGTTGCAGAAGTCCAGTCTAAACAAGGACTCTGAGATACGCATGTCTGTGACTCTCTTCGGGTCGGGTTTTCTTACCTGTGGAATCAGATGTCAGTATTTCATAAGCAGAAGTGTTGGAAGGATTAACGTTTTTGAAATGCTACATGCTGTTCTGTTTAGCTCCACCCACAACTGTTCTCGATGAGTTTCTGCTGGACTTTGAAGAATGCTGATGTGATAATCGCGGAAAAGACCTCTGCTCCTGGAAACCACCTGTCACTGCACATTCATGGAGCTTCACCCTGACTCCAGATCTACAGGACTACCATGTAACACAAGGGGGCACTTAGAACAGTTCCCACCTCTTCACTGGTTACATTCAAGGTGAAAAATAAGAATATTTGAATAAATGCAATGCTTTGTGACAGTTGGTCTTGAGTTTAGCATGTTACGAACTAAAAATCAGCTGGATCTCTCTCAGCACTAGATAGATTACTTACTGTTGGGGGGAGAGAGAGAAAGAGAGAATGAATATGTATGTTAGTTTTGAAGATGTTATTCTTCTAATTATGTTTATAGAGAGGTTTGTTTCTGGAGGCACCACGGAACAATGCGGTTAGTTTGTCCAAGGAATAAAAACATTAACTGGGCCGTCCTCTGGCCTCTCCTTCGAAGTGCTGTCTGTGTGTTAAGGAAAGGAATCTCAGCTTATACGAAAGTGGCGCTGTCTTTCCACAGGATATTCATTGTTTTGAAAATAGGAGAAAACCTCACCAGCTCTGAAGCATATAATTATGCTTTCTTATTACACAACAAGAATGTTCTCCAGAGCGGGGGTGTGAGGATACACTGGCGAGACTCGGCGGAGGGAAGGGTAGTGGGGAGGAGAGCAGGAGGCCAGTCTCCCAGCCTTTTGGTCTCCTTCTTCTGTTTGCTGTTTCATGGCTCTCACAGATCTGGGCCTTTTCCTCGAACAAACTAGGTAGACTTTTGGTTGTGGATTCCCAGGCTCCCTCCACTTATCAGAGTAATGAGTGATTTCAGAGTATTAGGGCAGATTCCAGTACCACTGAATCACACACGGACTCAAAGCCAGATGATGACATCAGAAACATATGTGTTGCTCTGGAGGCAGAGCTTGGCCTGAGACGCAGAGCAAGCGCTCCGGTGGGAGCACAGGCTTTCATTGGCCCAGAAAGGACTCCACGAGGTGGGCTTCTTTATCTTTTGCCTTCAGGCAGGCAGTCACCTGGGGGAAAAAAAGCCTCTTTAGATGGTTGATGTGCTCTTCTCAAATATTCTAGGGAAGCTCTTTCAGAAAGCTAGGACTTAAGTGCCTTGCAAACAAGGCAAAGCTTCGCGTGTGAGGGACAAGCTGCATATGCTATAAATCATAATTACTGTGATTTTATAAACCTGAAGTTTCCTAACCAAGCTCTATTTTCATTCAGAGCAGCATCTGTGAGATATTTCTTCATTAATCATGTTGCTCCCCCTCTAAATGTCCACCCATTTAAAAAGAAAATTATATTCTCAAATACGTGTTTTACACAGGCACATTACTATATCGGAGTATGCTAATTCCTCCAAATGCTTTTTATTAAGCCATGGGACAAATTTCAATCACTGTGTAAGTTAGCATCATATTTGAGCTTTATGCAGACCCTGTGGTTTCCATAGCAATAAAATCACTTCACAGTATAAGAAACACGTGGAAGATTATAGGGGGAAGAAAGGGAATCTAAAGGGAACAAAAGGCAGGAGCTAAAGTCAAAATTTCTTTGGATGCTGGAAGAAAATTTATTACTGTTTTATTTATCTCAGAAGTCTGATACAAATCCCCTTGAGGCTACTAGGTGGAAAACTGTGTTAGTGTTCTCATAATTTTTCAGGATCCAGGATCATCTTACTCCAAGCTATAGTCTTACCAAAACCTACACTCCCCACTCCCCACTGTGTGTGTCTGTGTGTGTGTGTGCATGTGCACGTGTATCTATGTATATCTATGCATAGACACACACACACACACAGACTGAAGATCTGTGATCTTTAAAAAAAAACTGATTTTGTCATGTTAGATCAGGAACTGGTCGTAAGATAACTTTCCAAAGGACCTACCACATTTTTTCTCTCATGCACGCATAAGCACTAAGACAAGCTGAACTCCAATTCGGAAAAATAGTTTGGTTACTTGGCAGTACCACTCATTCATTCATTTGCTCATTTGTTCGAGACATATTTATTGAGCATCTCTTAAAACAGAGGGTTCTTGTACTGGAAATAGCTGTAAGTTGACAATTATGATACCTGTGAGTGCTCTGTGGGTTATGTGTTAGGGGCTTAGTGGGAGTCCTCCTGGACTCTCATCTGGTCCCCTCTGTTCCAACAGCTCATGTTTCCCAAGCTCGCAGACCTATGGGCAGCTCAGCCGGCAGCTTGAGTCCCTTACCTCATGGGTTGCACGCTATTTTGTTAGAGGGCTGGGCTGCTGGGGGTTTTTTGCTTACTAACTTCCATAGGTTGAGGAGACTTGCATTCCTGATCCTGTTTCTCCTACTGTTCTGATTAGATGACTACAACATAATCCTGGCACTTTGGCCTCAAAGTGGTAAAAATGAAGACAGGATTAGCCGGGAATTTTAAAATGCCATCTCTGCTTGTGATCCATCATTAAGGAAATACCAACTTTCCTGGGTGATTAATTTCTTCTTGTCTTTGTGTTAGACACTGGAACCAAAGGGAGGCTCTTTGCTCCATCTCTTCTCAGTGATAGGAGTTAGGATGCTTGGTTCCAGAAGAAATGTCCAAGAATCTCCCCAGAGACTGACAAGCAGAGTGAATTCAGACACCATCCTTCAGTTCTTATGGAAGAACCTGACTTTTTCTGAGGTCCATCTAAGGAGATGGCTCCTCTTGTGAGGGCGGGCCCATGGCAGCCAGTGGAGCGGGCTTAGTTGTGATGCTTCAGCCTGGGAGGCGGGTGTGCCCAAGAATACATCAAAGGCATTGGGACCGATCTCTGGAAAGAAGTTCTGGTAATGAAAATTTCTGCCATCTTTCTCTTTGAGAAGAACTTTTGTCCCATGACGACATAATAGCACTAATAAATGTGATCTGAGTGCGTGACTGGAAATGTACATGCTGGTTAGAGACATAAAACTGTTCTCCGTGAGCCGCCTCTGTCCCTTCTGTCTTGGGCAAACCTCTTCCCCTGTGTGCTCATGTCTATCCCTCTGCTCACTCCAGGACCCGGCTCTCTCAATTGTTTCTCGTCTTGTATCTTTAATTACTTCCTTTTCTCTGGCTTCTTCCTTTTATACACAAATATGTGCAAATCTCCCCAAACCTTAAAAAGCAAAACACACAAATAAAACCTTGCCCATCCGCCCTCTCTTTTCGACCTCTTGTTTCATCATTCAGCTGAAATTCCCTCCTAGGTTAGAGTAACCTCTCAACTGCCAGCACCAGGTCCTGTCTTCTGTCCTGTACCTGCATCCTCTGTAGCATCAGAGGCTCTTGAACACCCACTCCTTTCCGATAAGCGCTCCTACTCCGTCTTCTACACCATCCCTCCCTCTTAAATTTCCCCCATGTCTCTGTCTTCTACAAATTCTTTGTGTTTTTCTTCACAATTTCTCCTTCTCTGCCCACCCTTAGAAGTCCACGTTTCCCAGATGATATCCTGTCCTTGGTATTTGTCTCTTCCCTCTCACTGTATATTTTCTTATATGAAATATTCTCCCAAATGAAATTGCTATTTTTGTAGGTAGAATGTGATCAAATGCTGGTAATTTCATGTGATTCAATCCATAATAATCTCCATATCCCTATTTCCAGCCCTGTTCTTTCTCCTAAGCTTAGGCAAATATTTCCAGTGACCAACTGGATACTTCCAACTGGATTGTCTTAATTAATATATCTCAGGTGGGACCCTTTTACCCATCATCACTCTACCTCAAGTATTCATGGTGTCACTACCTCCTCAGTTTCCCAGGGGAGAAATTTCAGTCGTTCTTGAACTCTTCCTCTCTTCCACTTCTATTGTCAGTCAGTCACAAAGCCAGAGAACTCCACCTTGTAAGTATCCCCACTGTATTATGTTTGATCAGGCCACTGCCATGTTCACCTGGGGGGTGGCAATGGCTCCTTTCATGAGTCCCGGCTTCCACCTGCACTGTATTCCAGTCCATCCTTTATACTACTACCAGAAATATCTTCTTAAAAAAGCAAACCTGGCCATGTGACTCTAAGTCTCCTCAAATTCCAATTCCGACCTACAAGCTATGGTTCAACTCCTGTCACTCTGACCCTCATATTCTTCATCACAGTCATTCTGATGGAATGGCTTGTTGTTTTCTGAAATGTCAGACTCTTGCACAGCACTGTGCTTTCTTCCATCTGAAATGTCCTCCACATTCTCTAAGAAACTCCTACTCAGCCACTGAGAGCCAGCTTAAAAGCTTCCTGTCATATCAAGCCTTCTCCAGCTCTTCTCACCAAGTGGATTCTTCTCCAATTCCCAAACATTTTGCCCTATTTCTGTTCTAGCACTTTGTAGGCCACCTGGTAGCTTAATTTATTGATTTATATATTAGTCTCTCCAACAGATTAGAAGCTCATAATCGTGCCCTTCTATGACCCACACTAGATACTTTAAGGACACTTACTGAATAATTAAATGGGTGATTGAAAGAAACTTGGGCCAAGACCTGAATACCAGGTTGAGATGGATTAAGGAGTTCTCAGGTCTAGGGTTGTGTTTTGTGTATACATACATACTGCTGTCCTGGAAATCGATCCACTCTGCTTCCCCAGATAGCAAAATGAGAAAGTGAATATTCACTGCCCCTGGCATTTGATTAATACAACAGTAAATCGGATGTGGAGCTCCAAAGCAAAGTTACAGTTGAGGATTCCACATTGCCCTGAAATAGCATGTTTCATTCTCAGTGGAATTACACCATGAGAGAAATGTACAGTGTTATGGCAGCCTTATTTCTATTTTCAGAGTGTATCTGTCTCTTCTTTTGTTGAAGTGACTTGAGTGAGGATCCCCCTGGGATTTCAGAGGAAGTTGTAGAGCAGAGAAGGTACAAATAATTCCACCTTTCGTAGTGTTCTTCGACAGATTAGAAAGACTCCCTCTTTACACAGGGTCCCAGCCTAGTGTTGATGACAAGAAAGGATGGGAGCCCAAAGCTGTTGTTAGATCACTGGTCCTCAGGGTGCTGGCTGCTAGCAACACCCATTGTAACCCCAGAGCAGAGAAGACAAAGAAAGAGGAAACCACAGTCTAGTCGGTAACCCAGTCAGTATAAGGAACTGAGCCTGTGGCCGTCTTCCCTTCGACAAGGGGGGCTGCTGTCACCATGATGGACACGCTG